CTTGGAAAATCGGCCATTACTTTTGCACCAACCTAATAATTCCTAGCGAAAAATCTGCGCAGAAGTATTTAGATTTTGATCAAATATGTGCGTCTGCAAGTTATATGCAATGAGATGCTTGAATCAAAATGAAATTTCTTGAAATATGTTTCCATTACAATTGGAAGTGTGTTTTGAATCTACTAGTGAAAAAATCCACGTCAGCTGGTGCAGCTCGATGAACTGTGACCTTGCTGTCACCTTGATAGCGAACGATACAAGGTTTGCCATTACGTTTCAATTGTGATTGTACCTAAAATACAGCAGAATACATAATGCCGGTTTCTCCAAATGTCTCGTCGATAACTCACTTCGCTAAGCACTTTGTAAAGTACACCCATACATACATTAGCCGACCATTCGCCTCGTTTGTAAAGATCGTTCGTGTGCAGAAGTTCAACCTCCATTTTGCTTTAGAATAAAGCGCAAAGTCTAAGCATCTTTGCAAATACCTTTGTAACAATGCCATCATCGTCACGATAGCCTACGACGATGTCACGAATACCGAGTAAATGCGACTGCAGCCACCACTTCAGACTCTTATACTTCCAGAATGTATTATTAAGCGCATAGCGTTGTGTCTTCAGTTCGACGATATCTCCTTCTGAAATAAATTGTTCAAAGAAAACTTGCTATAAAGAAAATAACTTACCAGCATTAATTGCGTCCACTTCACCGCTATAAACCAATTTCAACGGCCTCTCGGATCCAGCCGTTAACGTGGAACGATTCACCACTGCGAATTCTTCAAGGCATGTAACAGCCTCATTTGTTTTGGGTTTTTCCTAAAAAATGAAACTACTTAGGTTTTTGGGTTAGAAGCAATTCGTGCTATGCAAAATTCTCATGTTAGTTGAAGAAATGTCTAGAATATCCAGGTAACGTGTACGAGCTTTTAGGTCTTTTCTCTTGTGGCCTTACCAAGCATATTATCCACATTTCATGGCGAAGATACACGCTGATTCGAGTAGTAAACTTACGCTTTT